GGGGTGCACACTAGGTTAGAACTTAGTACACATGGAGTGTTGGCCAGCATCACATTACCTGCTGAGTCAGATGAGACATGAGCAGCAGAAGAGGCCATATTCCAGGAAGGTGGAGGCCACCTGACCTTCTCCAGCCAGAAAGACCTGAGGGCAGCTGGGCCATCCTGAAGCTTTCTGATGCATCCACTGTCCCTGAGACTTCCCAATGTACTTGAATACTCTTTCTAAAACACAGAGTGAGCAAGTCACATCCCTGTTTAAAGTCCTTCAGAGGCAGCTGGGTGCCAGAGACCTGGCTGTTGTGCAGAAACTGGATGGACTTTGAAAACCAGTGTAGTGAGCAATGTCTGGGCAGTAAAACCTGGAAGGAATTATCTGGACTGTCTTGGCAAATGGACAGCCATCAACCTCCAGTGTTCTGTGGCAGAGGAATGACCTTGGTGTCAATGTGCAGGAGGCCACCATATCCCTTCTGAGGCCAGCATATTTCAGATTGAGTCAGGTGAAGTGGGGCTTTGGGGAGGGATCTTGTGTGCCCTCAAGGAGCTAGAAAGTTCACTTTATATCTCTGGAAGGTCCACTCCATTGACTGGGACAGAACCAAAGAGAGGAGGTAGCTATCTGACAAAAATACTTGGTCAGGGACAGACACTGACTCTCTTGTTTGTTCCACACACATTTCCTGAGTACCTATTGGTGCCAGGCACAGTGCTAGGAGTTGAAAGGACCAAGATAAATTTGAAAACTGGGGGGATAGCATTAGGAGAAATACCTAATGTAGATGATGGGGTGATGCATGCAGCAAACCACCATGGCACATATATACCTATGTAACAAACCTGCATGTTCTACACATGTACCCCAGAACTTAAAGTATAATAAAAAAAATTACTTAAAAAAAAAAACACCCTCTAATCACTTGAGCCCAGGAGTTTGAGGTTGCAGCGAGCTATGATTATGCCGCTGCACTCCAAACTGGACAACAAAGTGAGACACTGTCTCTTAGAAAAAGAAAAAAGAAGGAAAAACCCTCTAGGAGATTATCTTCCACTTGGAGATGAGCAACATGCATAAAAATAATGACAGTTCTGTGGTGAAGAAAGAGAAGGTGATAAAATGTGTAACAGGTACAGAGTTAGCATGGTGGTAGGGGCAGTGCGGGGAGATATAAGGTAAGTATTCCAGGGAGAAAATCTTGAAGGCAGATCACCAGGGTGACAAGGGTGAGGAGGGTGTTTCAGGTGGTCATGACTGCATTTGCAGAAGCAGCATGTTACGCTTGAGGAGTGGGATGAAATGCTGTCTAGATAACTATGGAGTAGGAGGTGGTAAAGCTGGAGAGGGGGCGGGAGCCAAAGGTGGAACCCGATTGCCTTATCTCCAGTTTAATGATAAATTCCAACAAGCCTGTACACCACATTCTCAACTTGTTAAATCCTTCAGCAGCAATTATTACTCACTCTGTGGCCTCCATTAAATGCTTATTGATGAGAAGCCTTTCCCAATAGCAAAAATCTCCCTCACTTGCTCCGTCTCACTAGATATTATTAGATGATAAGGGCAGATGGGACACTTCTATGGCATGCGTCTTGCCTCGTGTCTGATGAGATCTGCACTCAACCCAAAGCCAGTTTATTGTCCTGGTGGATTCCTGGAGTGAGTCCATTTTAACCCTATCACTGTTTTTCTCTGGGTTTGGCTTGGGAGGATACTTAGTTGAAGCAAATTAGAGTATACAAATGGTACAGGTGCACTGATCCTGTTACTGATCCTGGAAATGTACACTCACTGTGTCCTTCAGCCTGAGATGTGGCCCAGACAGAGCACAGACACCATGAGAACAGTGTGGCTCAGTTTGCCCACAGCAAAAAAAGAAAAAGAAAGAGAGGCATTTAATAAAGGTCATTTATTCTCCTCAGCATCACGCTTCAGTGCTGTTGATGCCACCATTCAAACACATGTTCTAATTTACAGTTTCTGGGAACTTTTGGAAAAATGGATGAGAGCCCCGGGTTACCCAAGATGCTACAGTTACATGTTTTAATGGCTCTAACAATGTATATTTTGTCGAAATGAAATAGGATTTTTAAGGACTTTATAATAGTTGTAAAAAAACAGCCAGCCCCCTTTTCAGATACAGTCATCACGAGGCTGCTCTTGTGAATAGCTTGGCACACTTTGCAAATAACTCATTAAACCATCCAGCCTCCCCGGGAAGAAGCTAGCAGCAGTTTGTTGACTGCTTTCTTCCCACACGGTAGGGGGTATTCCTGCTGCCTTAAAGGAAGTATGGAGAGACCAAGGCCCGCGTAGGCTGAGAGCTTTTCATCTTCACGCTGTAGCTCAGAGTACATGCAGAACAACTCTGTGTACAGTAGGAGATGCATTGGGCCTTCCCACCTCCAGGAGGCAAGTCTGCCCTCCAGCCAGCCAGTGCCCTGTCTCCGTTTTCACTGAGCCCCACTCTGGGCCAGGCTCTGTGCTTCGAGCTGAAATCCAAAGATGGAGAAAACGCTTCACTTCCTAAAGTGTTTACTGATCAGTGGATAGGAGAGACTCATAAGCAGGGTTTTTTTTTTTTTTCAATAGAATGTGGCATGTGATTTATTAAAGGTAAGTCAGAGATGAACTAACCTAAGCTAGATGTTAGAGAAGCCGTCTCAGCAGCCTTCTACCCTCCCAGCTCCCAGACACTTGTATCCTTAACTCTGTGGCAGCCACAGTGGATTAGTTAATCCAGTTTCCAATACCCTTTCCCTCACTGTTCTCACCAGAAAAGCTGTCAAGCTAAATATATGCCTTTCTAGCCTCTGTTGTAGCTACAGTGGCCATGTAACCTAGTCTTGCCAATGAGACAGGAGCAAGATCTACAGGAGGTTCTTAAAATACTCTGTGTTATTGATTAACAGGCATAGCTAATCCAGTACAGCTCCCTGCCCCTCCCCCTTACCTTGATCGAGGTTATGATGGCTATAGCTGTAACAGCAAGCTTGTGACCATGAGGGAAAAACTGAACTGCAGGTGATCTAATGTCATTAGGTACCTACTTCCAGACTTTTTGTCATGTTAGAAACAAGTGAACCTCTCTTTGTTTAGACCACTGAGGGTAGGCTTCTGGTATTTGCAGCCAGTATATCCCTAACTGATCTAGGTACCTAGCAGGTAATTGATAGTGATTGAAGTCATAAATAATGTGACCACATAAATGGATCTTAACAGATTGGGATGTGCTAGGCGGTTTTCTGGTTGGAGGAAACCAAAACAGCCTATACAGAAGGTTGAAGCAGGAAACCATGAAGGTCTCACAAAGAAGCCCTAACAGGTAGGAAGCTTGATGAAAGCCTAGAGAAGCAGATAACATGGGCCAAGTTAAAACAGTTTCCCTTAGATATAAATCGGGTTCCAGGTTCCCGTGACTGAGCACTCCACATGCTGTCCCAGAACTGCAGGATTACAGCTAAGAGCATCGTTGCAAGATGAGCAATAAAGGCAGTAAATGTGTTCCTCCTGTTTGCAGGATTACAGCTAAGAGCATCGTTGCAAGATGAGCAATAAAGGCAGTAAATGTGTTCCTCCTGTTGGCTGCCGTGTTATCTATTACTGCATAACCAATTACACCAAAATGTAGCAGCTTAAAACAACACATTTATTTATAATTTTTATTTAGTATATCACAATTTCTGTGGGTCATGAATCCAGATATAATTTAAGTTATAAAGCTTATCTTATAAAGCTTCAATCAGGGTGTTTGCAGGGCTGCAGTCACATCTGAAAACTTAACTGGGGAAAGATCACGCCCACGCTCATGCACATAGTTGTGGGCAGGTCCAGTTCCTCACTGGCTGTTGGCTACCAGAGGTCTCTCTCACTCTCTGGGCCCATGGGCATCTCTGTGGGGCAGCTCACAACCTGCCAGCTGGCTGCATCATGGTGAGCAAGTGAGAAAGCAAAAGAAGTGAGCCTCAGTTTAGGAAACTGAGCCTCAGAAAGGGTCTGCAGTTTGCCCTAGGTCTCACAGCCAGTGAGAGGCAGACTAGGGGTCAACCAAGGCCCACCTCGAGGAGGCAGCATCTCAGAGGCTAGAGAGCCATGTCTGCCAGCCTGCCCTGAAGTCCAGGCTGTTTCCTTCTTACCTTTAACCTCAACAGAGTGAGGCCAGACGGTGTGCTGCATTCTCTCAAAATGCTTGGGCCCCAGATAAAGGACAATAGGTGAAATCAGAATACAGTCTGCACATTAAATAATAGTCCGGTAACAGTGTTGGTTTCCTGATTTCAGTCATCATTCTGCAGTTATGTAAGAAACTTTCTGCATTCTTAGAAAACACATACTGAAGTATTTAGAGACAAAGGGATTTTATTCCTATGATTTGCTCTTAAACATTTCAGAAAAAAAATTATATATAGATATGTACATGTGTGGAAAGAGTGAATGATAAAGCAAGTGTGGTAAAATGTTAATTTAGGAAATCTGGATAAAGAGTATAAAAAAATTTTGTATAAATTTGGCAACCTTTTTTCAATAAGTCTGAAATTGTTTCAGAACAAAAAGTGTTTTAAAAGTGCTGACCTACTCTTGGACCTTGTGAGATCTATTAGGACTACCAGAGATGACAGTATGGGGGTTTTATAGCCCTCCTTCTGACCCCAGGGTGATGTGTCGCAGCCCAGGGAGGATATAGAGGTTCAGAACAGAACACGGGTTCTGGGATCAGCCTGCCTGGGTTCCAGTCCCGGCCCAGTAGCTTCCACAGTCCCTGAGCTATATGAGCAACCATTCAGGGTTGTTAAAAAGGACTTGGCAAGAGAAGGATATATCTTGGCATAGCACTTGGCATACTTCATGGCCCATGGCAAACTCTCCTTAAATGTTGTTTTTATGACCTCCTCAGTCATCTTACAAGTGAGAAGTAATGGTCTGTGTGTGGTTTAAAGAAACTGCTCTGGATAATTGTCTCAGTGATAACTCCCTGACATGAGCTTTTGTCTCCATAAAAGCAGGGTGGCCACTGCAACTGATGTGGATGTGCCTAACAAGATGAAGAGCCCAATCCCTGTGGTGCTCCTGGCCTGTGGCTCCTTTAACCCCATCACCAACATGCACCTGCGCTTGTTTGAGGTGGCCAGAGATCACCTACAACAAACAGGTCAGTCAGGGGTCCCTGAACCCAATAGAAGAACTGGTGGCTTAGGCTTCATGGGGCTTTTCTGGCTGCTGGCATCACTATTATTAAAACAGCTCAGTTTATTTATTCACAGCATAACTGGTGGCGTATTTTTTTCATCATATTCAGAGGGCGGATGCTTCATAGTCTTATGACATGTGTACAAGTCATACCCCTTTCCATGGAGCTGAACACATCTCAAGGTCTCCCCTCCCCATCCACCTCACATTGGCAATGAATGACAACAGGCCCTCTATAGAACCTGTGCCACAATGAGGGCATCCTCCCTAGTACTCCCAACATTTGCCTATACAGCCAGATGAATAGGTAGCATGTACCTTAGAAAGGTCCTGATACTCTTCAGAGGATAAGCAAATGCTTGATAATGGGCATTTTGACATTTTCTTGAAAGAAGAGATCCTATATTATTGCAAATTAATAATCTATACATGGGGCATTTCCAATACAGATGGCATGACTTTGCCAGAAATATTTAATCAGCTGGAAATATATAATCTGAGGATGTTTAATCTCCTTGACTTTCTATTTCATTATTAAAGGAGTAAAGTGACATTTGTAATCTGCATGATTGTTTCTAAGGAATATAAGTAATGTATATCAGATATATATGAAATTATTTACTTGTATATTTGTGAATGTCTTATATATTCATATATGTATTTTGTGTTTCTATATTGCTTTAAAAAGTTTGCCTTTAAGGACATTTTTATACCAAAATCAATTCCTATTTACTTTTAATATAGCAAAAAGTATTTGAGTAACATAGAAATCATTTCTTCAAAGAAATCATGTACAAGTATTAGTTTATTTTAAAGAAAATGTCTTTATTTTAAAAACATTTTTATTATTGAAAAAGTGAAAGTTGAGTATCTATCCTTGACAAATAAATAGCTTAGTAAATAATAGGAATAAAAAACATTCAAACAATTTATTAAAACTAATTGGTAGTTATTAGTAGGCAGTATATCAAAGAAGAAGTATAAATGGCCAACAAACTTAGGGAAAGGTGCTTAAAATCACAATAACCAAATAAAGTGCAAATAAAAATGTGATAAACTACACAAGGTGATAAGCACCACCATGAGGGTATCTCCTATGGCTACTGGAACACCACAGAATTGTAACCATGTGTCATTGGGCTTATAGTTAGTGCTCAAAAAAATATCTGCTATAGGAGAAAATAGTTTTAGCCCATGAGACTGGCAAAGATTAAAGACTGACAAAATTCAGTGCTGGCAGAATAAAGAAGCATTGGTAGTAATAGGACTGTATTGGGAGTAATAGAATAAATGATAAAACATTTTTGAGGACAATTTGGTGTTCTGACAAAAAATTTAAAGTCTGTACCCACACTCATAATGAAGAGAAAAATGAACCAATGGAAACAAAACTAGATTTGATGCAGATGTTAGAATTAGCTGACAAAGCCTTGAAAACAGTTATTATAATTGTATGCTCTATATTCAAGTTAAGTAAAGATATGGAAAATATAAAAAGGACCCAGATCAAACATCTAGAATTAAAGACTACAATCTGCGAAATGAAAAATCTACTGGAAAGATTTAACAACAGATTAGACATTACAGAAGAAAAGATTAGTGAACTTGAAGATTAGGGAACTTTCTAAAATAAAATACACGAAGAAAAGGAATTTTGAAAAAGAAAGAATAGCAGTGAGATATGGAAGAACTTGAAGCAGCTTAATATACTTGGAATTAGAATCCCAGAAGGAGAAAACAAAGAAAGAACTTGAAAAAGTATTTGAAGAAATAATGACTGAAATTTCTCCAAATTTGGTGAAAACTCGCAGATCCAGTATCTGAACAAACTCCAAAAACAAGAAACATTAAGAAAACACAGATATATAATAATCAAATCTCTCAAAACCAGTAATAGTCAAAGGCAGCCACAGAACAAAAATAAAGATGGCAACAGATATCTTGTTACTGAATTTACCAAAAGAGAATTCAGTGTAATAACATTGTTAAAGAACTGAAAGAAAATACTGTCAACCTAGAATTCTATATTCATTCCATTCTGGCAAAAATATCTTTCAAAAACAAAAGCAAAGTAAAGGCATTTTCAGATATTCGAAACCTGAAAGAACTCACCACCAGCAAACTTGCACTACACGAAGTGCTAAATTCCTTCAGGCAGAAGGAAAACAATACCAAAGGGAAGCATGGACCAACACAGAAGAATGCAGTGCACTGAAACCACATGAGGCAATTATATAAGGTTTCTTATGGATTAATTTTCTTTAAAAGGCAATTCACAGTTTAAACAAAAATAACAATACATTGTGGGATTTATAACATACGTAGAAGTAAAATATAACAGTAGAATAAAGGCTGAGGGGGTGAAATGGAAGTATACATAAAGTGGTATAACATCACTAGAGATAGACTGTGATAAGTTAAAGATATGTTTTACCCTCTAATGCAATTGCTAAAATGAAGTGGTTATAGTTAATAAGTATACAAAAGAAATAGAATCAGAATATACTCAGTTAATTCAAAATAAGAAAAAGAGGAATTGGGAAACAAAAAACATAAGAGACAAATAGAAAACAATATAAGAGATTTAAACCTAACTATATCAATAATCACATTAAATATAAATAGTCTAACAACTTCTGCAAAGAGGCAGACTGCCAGATTCAATAAAATAAGCAAGAACCAGGTATAAATAAGAAGCATACTTTAAATATAGAAACCCACATAGGTTAAAAGTAAAAGAACAGAAAACTGTCCCATGCTAACACTAATTAAAAGAAAGCTGGAGTGACTATAGTAGTATCAGAAAAAGTAGATTTCAGAGGAATGAATATTACCAGGGATAAATACGTTTATTTCATAATCATAAGGGGTAAATTCTTTAAGCAGAAGTAATACTAACACTTTTTGCAGTTAGTAATAGAACTTCAAAATACATAAAAAGCAAGAACTCATAAAATTACAAGGAGAAAGAGACAAACCCACAATTACAGTCAGCTATTTTAAGACTCTTCTCAGTAATTAATAGAATAAGCACACAGAAAATTAATAAAAGACTTGAACAACACTACTAAACAATTTGACCTAATTGACATTTATAGACCACTGCATCCTACATCACAGAATGTACATTCTTCCCAAGGGCACACAGAACATTCACCAAAATAGGCCATGTTCTGAACCATAAAAGAAGTCTCAGTAGATGTACAAGGACTGAAGTAATACAAAGAGTATTCTCTGACCACAGTGGAATAACATTAGAAATCAATAACAGAAAGATCTCCAACTATGGAAATGAAATAACATACTTCTAAAAACTCATGGGCCATAAAAGAAATCAAAATGGAAATTAGAAACATTTTGAACTGAATGAAAGTGAAAACAATATATAAAAAATTTTAGGATGCCACTGCAGTAGTACTTCAGGAGAGTTTTATAGCATGAGATATTATAGTAGGAAAAAATTGTCTCAAACCAATGATTTCAACTTTCACCTTGATAAACAGAGGAATAGACAAAACACAAAATAAGCAGAAGAAAGGAAATACAATAATGCCCCATACTATGACATTTCAGCAAATAACAGACCGTGTGTACAACAGTGGTCTCATCAGATTGTAATGGAGTTGAAAATTCCTATTTACATTATAGCATCATAGTGCAAGGCATTATTCGTGTTTGTGGTGATACTGGTGTAAACAAACCTACTGCATGACTAATCATATAAAAGTCTAAAAAGTCTAGCACATACAATTACATACAGTACATAGTACTTGATAATGGTAATAAATGACTAAGTGACTCGTTTATGTAGTTACTTTTATACTTATTTTAGAGTATATTTCTTCTATTTGTTTAAAAAAAAAAAAGTTAACTGTAAAACAGCCTCAGGCAGGTCCTTCAGAAAGAATGCCAGAAGAAGGCACTGTTGTCATAGATGACAGCTCCATGCATGTTTCTGCCCCTGCAGACCTTCTAGTGGGACAAGATATGGAGGTAGGAAACAGTGATATTGATGATCCCAATCCTGTGTAGGCCTAGGCTAATATGGGTGTTTGCATCTTAATTTTTAACAAAACTTAAAAAATTAAAAATTAAAAAAACATATAGAATAAGGATATAAAGAAAAATATTTGTGTACCTCTGTACAATATGTTTGTGTTTTAAGCTAAGTATAATTACAAAAGCATCCAAAAGTTTAAAAAATTGACAAGTTTATAAAGTAAAAAAGGTACAGTAAGCTAAAGTCAATGTATTATTGAAGAAAGAAAAATCTTTTTTAAAATAGAGTATAGTTTAAATAAACAGTGACGATGAAGTCTATAGGAGTCTACAGTAATATTGTAGTTAGTCCTTCACATTCACTCATGCCCTGACTCACCCAGAGCAACTTCCAGTCCTACAGGCTCCATTCATGGTAAGTGCCCTCTAAGGTGTAGTGTTTATCTTTTATACCATATTTTTCCTGCACTTTTTCTTTGTTTAGATATGTTTAGAACATTTCTCAAAAAATATATACAAACAGCTAGCAGGTACATGAAAAACTGCTAAACATGACTAATCATCAGAGAAATGCAAAATAAAACCAACATGAAATATCATATTATCCCAGTTAGAATGGCTATTATTAAAATAACAAAAAATAACCAATGTTGGTGAGGATGCAGAGAAATGGGAACTGTTATAAACTATTGGTGAGAATGTAAACTAGAATAGCCATTGTGGAAAATAGTATGGAGATTTCTCAAAAAACTGAAAATATAATCACTATTTAATTCAGCAATCCCACTATAAGATAGCTACCTAAAGGAAAAGAAATCAATGTATCAAAGGGATACCAGAACTCACCTGTTTATTCCACTCTATTCACAATAGTAAAGATATGGAATCAACTTAAGTGTCTATCGATGGATGAATAGATAATGAAAATGTGGTATATATACATAATGGAATACTATTCTGCCA